AGAAGAAGGGGAAAAGCCTACCAAATATTTTTTTAACTTGGAGAATAGAAATTTCACTTCTAAGATTATTCAGAAATTGGAAAAAGAAAATGGAGAGATTGTTACAAATCAGAGAGAAATCCTTGACGAAGTTAGATTATTTTATGAAAAACTATATGCAGCAGACAGTAATATAGAGGATGTTTATTTAGAAAATTTGGAAGTTCCTAAATTGAATAGAATAGAATCTAATAAATTAGAAGGTCTTATTACACTTGACAAAGCCTCTTTGACAATGAAAAATATGAAACATAATAAAAGCCCAGGGTCTGATGGTTTCACTACTGAATTTTTTAAATGTTTTTGGAGACAACTTGGTGATTTTGTAGTTAGATCTATAAATTTTAGTGGAGCTAATGACTTTTATGTAATACTTTCTGAAAATAAGATTATTCCAACTGGTAGGAAGAAATGGGGAAAAATATTTGACATTAGGGACAAAAAATGGGAGAAAATATATCAAATTCCATTTCGCACAACTACTAATACAAAACTCCAGTGGCTCCAAGTAAGAATTCTCCATCATATTTTGACAACAAATATATATCTATGCAAAGCCGGTCTCTCTAATAAACTTTTATGTGTTTTTTGTAATCTAGAAAGGGAAACAATAATTCATACATTATGATAGTGTGCCATTGTACAAAATTTCCGATACAGTTTTGAAACATTACTAGAAGCTTTAATTATCCCATTTTCTTTTAATAAGGAATCCTTCCTTTTCGGAATAGTGTCCCAGTCAGGAATAGGCAACAGACTAGATAATGAAATTTTAATTATGATCAAACACTATATTTATAAAACAAGATGCCTTCAAAACAATTTGTCAGTAAATGCTTTAATTAACAGCATAAAAGACCATTATTCTGTACAAAAATATATAGCATGTTGCAAGGGGGATAATTTTGTAAGAAAACTGGAAAGAGAATGGAAAAAATGGAACCACCTCCTGGATTTATAAGCCAAAATTAAATAATTTAATATCATCAAGTCAGCAGATACAATACATTTTTTGTGAATCTAAGTTGATGTTTCTGTCTGAACTTATTAAAGTTAATCTCTTTTATGATATAAATATATTTTGTCCTGAGTATTACCCTCATTTCTCAGTCACCTTTATATGGCTGTATTTACTTGCAGTTTAAAGCAGAAAGCACCTTACTTACAATTAATACAGAAGATTATCTTATAATCTTATTCTAAACATAAATTTTATTATTGAGCTGCAGTGCAAAAACTAGTTTCTCCTTTTTCTTCCTCTTTCTGTTGACTTAGAGTAAGTAAGTAAGAGTAAATATGAGTCGTGTGAGGTCTGAATATATAATATGAATTGTTTGAATGTAAATATACCATATATTGCAAAAAAAATCTTGAATAAAAAGAAATATACAAAAAAACCAAAAAAACACCAAACAGTAGTCTAATGGTAGGACACCTGGCTCGTGACCGAAGGTTTGAGGGTTCGAGTCACATTACAGCACTGTGTTGTATCTTTGAACAAGATACTTAACTCCACTTGTTCCACTCTACTCAACTGTAAATGAGTACATGGTTGGGCAGTGCTAGAATTGTGGAATGCTAGCTGTGAGCGCCTAAATGGTAGCACCGGCTGTATACTCCCCAGGGAGTTGGGAAAGATATTGGCTTGTTGCAAAGGCCCTATAACCACGGATAATAATTTGTGAACCGCTTTGAGACGACCTACGAACTAGGTTGTGATACAGCGGTATATAAAAACCTCGAATTATTGTTTTAATACATGAGTGGATGAATTACAGTCTAAAGCAATAGATAAAGTTTTCACAGCATGATTCCCTCTGAATCAGACTCACTTTATCAACATGTTTACTATAAGTTTTGTAAAATAACTTCACTAAATTGATTTGATCACTGAACATTTTATCATGAGGCATTCTGTGATCAAGGAACATGACTTGTTATTGATACATGTCTGTCAGAATTCCTAGGAACTGGGAAATTGTCTATCCAGAACTGTATGCTGTGAATCTGGTAAATGCTTCCTGGTGAAAAAGATTCAGCTGTAATATCTAAAGTATATTTCCTGATTGGTTCCTTCTGACAGATATGTAAATGTATGTACATTTTGTACAAGAAGTACTGGTAATTACAAATGTTTTGGTCTAAATTTTTACCACAGGACAACCAGTGTCAAAGAAGAAACGAAAGAGCAAAAGTGACCATTTCAAGTTTAAGTACAAGAAAAGCTTTTCTGCTCTTTTAGAAGAGGAGGTACGTAATTTTAAATAATGAAAATTTGTTTCTAATACCACTCATGGCAAAAGTATTAACAGAGAGTGTTTATGGCAAGGTGGCGCTACTCTGTTAAATTTTCTTTAAGTTTAACTGTTTGAAGTTTATTGTAGTAAAAAATTGAAAGGTTTTACAAATCTATTTACCTGTCTACCTGTCTACCTGCAGACGTAGTGTTAATTAACTGCTCCTTCGCTGATATAATCTTCATATTTCTGAAAAAAGTACAAACAAAATATTGTCACTTGAAAAAATGCAAAACATTTCAACTGAATTTATAGACAAGAGGCAACACAAGGCCTGTTGGATTTGGTTTCACTGGACAACCATAGTTCAGGCTACAATTAATATAATAAGAAAAAATAACACCTGTTGGCTACCCAGGTCTACAGATCTGTAATTAGCAAGTTTTGTTTACATGTTTTCAGTAGTCTCACTTTCATGTGCTTCTCAGCCCTGAGTAGTGTCTTTTGTAGCCAGTAAAAATTCCCACCTACTACAGATATTTCATTGGGTACTTTCATGAAAAAACAAGATGAGAGGTTATATTTCTATGAAGTACATATACTTGGAAATGCACTGAAAAGAACCACAGGGACCTGAGATTTGGTTACGGCTATATTTGGACCTAAACTAAGGTATTCAGTGTAATTTTATAGGTGTTCGGGATTCAGATCAACTATGGTAAAAAGCCAACCCAATAATGATATAATTTTTTATCGATAGTTGATAGAAACCCAGAAAACGTGTAAAATTACTCTAAATAGTTCAGTTTAGGTCCAAATATAGATGTAACAAATTCTCGGGTCCCTGTGAAAAGAACTGCCTGTGTTGTGTTGGATGCAGGCAACTCTGGTTTCTACTTCAACTGTTTCAACCCTATGTAACTTCAGTAGACTCTACCATGCATTGATCTGGATTAGTTCATTATGGTCTACAGTGGTGAAGGGTTAACCCTCTGTATATAATGTCAGGGATAGACATTCCTCATTAATGCTAGTTATACATGGCATATATATATATGGAATACGATTTATTCATCAGAATCATCCTCAATATATTAGGAACACGTTAAAGAGACTTTTAACTTTAAGAGAAATGTTATTTTAAAGGCCAAATAAATGTATGTTGTTTTCATGGCATATATATATATATGGAATACGATTTATTCATCAGAATCATCCTCAATATATTAGGAACACGTTAAAGAGACTTTTTACTTTTAATAAGAGAAATTATTATTTTAAAGGCCAAATAAATGTATGTTGTTTTATTTACAGCACATGACTAATAGAGACACTCCAAACTACTTTTCCGCCAGTGTACCACCATCCAGATTTCCAGAGAGACGATTCTGTGCTATTTGTGGATATCCTTTTCCATACATTAATTCATTTTACATCTTTGTTTACCTTTATGGATCAGTTGGTCAGAACTAGATAGACTTAAATTGAAACATGATCATGGTAAAGTAACAGAAATATAAAATGTTAGGGATATAGTAAATTCTTATTGTAGTACTATAATTTTTACATTTTAATTGAAACATAATAACGGTAAAATTACAGAAATATAAAATTTGAGGGATAATGTAAATTCTTATTGTCATTTTTACATCATCAATTTTTGATGGATCAGTTGGTCTATTTAGCCCAAAAGAAAAAGATATTGCTTCCACTAACCCTAACTACCCTAGATTTTTGTGCCTCCTCTAAAGTTTATATTGGTATTTAGTGATATGCTCTTGTTAAAGTCAGAACTCCTGCTCTGTATAACTTAAGCATTGTAAAAATATTTTCCAAAAAAAATCTAATTGCCTACCTACCTACCCTATTTTTTCTGAGGATGATAGCAGAGATACAAATAAAAATAAAATTCTAGTTTGACTGAAACATGACAACAGTTCAGTTACAAAAATATGAAATTTTATGTACTTGCATAAACATATTTCCTTTATTTGTCTAGTGCAGTTTAAGAGAAAGTAAAAGAGCTTATAGAAACATAATATGACAGATATATACATGAATAATTAGGAGATAAAAAATCAAAAAAAATCTTGAAATTGATTATGAGAAGTTCTTTTTACACAACCAATAAAATTTTCTATGTGATGTTTCGATGACTAGTACGATATGTACACTGACACCTTCATCAGACAAATGACCAATGAAGCATATGCACACAAAGGTATAAAATGTGTACGAGTTGTCTGTTGAAACACCCGAGTGTAGGTGTGTTTTAGTTCCCAGACTAACACACATGACTAAAACACAGTCAGGCAAAAGTGGGGATATATTCGATTTAACCAATTACTTTCATATAGAGTAAATAAAGTAGAGGTATAATAATCAAAGTTAAGTTGTAAACATAATTTTTTTAGTATCTTCACTGCACATTTCATTATACAGTATATATACATTATATATATATGTACCTGTATATCTAGATACATTGTATGAAGAAATGAAAATTAAAATTTGACTTCCTTAGCGGTTTCACATTTCCCTCCAATTATGTGTGTGTACAGTGTGGAGCAAGATACTGCTGTGTGAAGTGTTTAGGTACTCATCAGGACACAAGGTAGGCACCATGGGAGCTTAAAAATCCCTGTCCAACAACACAGGTGGAGTATAAAGTGTTTTGGGGTGGCTGTCGCAGTATCTATGCTGTAGCATTCAAGTGAGGTGGCACTATAAATGATACCGTTGGAAGCACGGTCCCACTACAAACAGAACATATTACATCTCCAGCACTCACACAGGCAAACACACATAGGGAGATACATGTATTAGCAAGGTGGCATAGGACTATAGTAGTTAGCGCCTGATAAGGCGCAGCTCCTGCAAAATCATCAAAATTGTATTGATCAATGTATATGCTAATTGTATTAATTGTATATATATATATCTATGTACTGTAAAGCGCTTTAGAGTGGCTTTTGTTAGCTAGATAGGACGCTATATGAAATGTTTTATATTATTATTATTTCTCTCTGACCTTTCCGATACATAGTATCTTCCCCTTAACTCGCGTTCGGATATATCTGTAGCTCAATAGGTTAGTGTGATAGTACAAGTATAATAATTTGAAGTACAGAGTTCAAATTCAGATCTAGCCCTGCTGATTTTTTACACTCAGAACACTGTGTTGTTGTATATATTTTGTTTATTTCATCTTAATTATTTTTCATAAAAGTCCTGCAAGGTATGGTTTTCTTTTTAGAAATGATTTATCAAAACTATAGTCGTGCTGGAAGAAAAGGTTTCCAATACATGGACTTAGTTAGTTTCTGGCAGTGGTACGGGATCCTTAATCTAAGTATCAAGGTATCAATCAGTATACTGGGTAGGTACTATGGGTTCCCTATTTCCTGAAGGTTGTGTCTGATACCAATCAGGATACTAGGACAGTTATCAGGATCCTTATTCGATGTGTGTAAGCACATATCAGCATAGTAGGTAGCAGTGATTTATGCTACTCAGATATTTGAGTCATGGACTTACAATGTTCTTTTCCTGTTGGACTTACCAACTCAGCAAAAAAACCACTGAGGTATTGTCCTAATTCCTTCTTCCACATTGTCTGGGCATCCAATATGATACAGGAACCCTGATTTCTTATCTTCATGGATCCTTCTTCCCAGTGTCAAGACACCCATTAAATTGCTAGGTAGATACCCCATCGTCTGAATATTTATCAGGAAACTGGGCTTGCGGACATTTAAATACCCAGAACAGGTTAAAGGCACTTGAAAGTATTCCGGTGTACTGGTAATCACAGGTTTGACTCTCAATAATGAAGACAACTTGTATCTTTTAAGCAGGGCCTGGAAGTAATTGTAAATAAAAGTTTACGCTCTGCCACAAGTGGTGGGATGGATGATGTAGATTTACCCTTGTCAACAGGTCTGGACATAGTCCATAGGACTGGCCGTCGTCCATAGGTCTGCCCGTCGGTGCATACATCAGGCTGATAATATTTTTTGGTTTAGGCAGATATAGACTATGTACGTATACCACAATCAGGGTCATGGGACTCCACTTGCTCATGTGCCTTCATAAGTAGAACATATTGAACAACATTCTTGTCGCCTTGATCTTTGAGCTTGACCTCTTTAACTCATTCACCCCTGAATACACATTTGAACTCTTCCAATTCAAAGGTTGGAATAGTTCATTATGAAATTTCAGTGGTGAATGAGTTAGCATTGCTTTAGTTCTTAGTGTGGAAGTGAGATATTCTTGTCTGACAGATACATATCAGGTTTGGGTAGTCTTTTGTAAAATTTTAAATGACTTGCATCCTCTCTTTGTCAGTAATTTATGAAGAAATGTATTACACTAATAAAATGTGTCCATTATTTATTTAGAATATTAATAATACAGGGGTCTACTTAGATGTACAGTTTTAGGGAGAAAAGAAAAAACGAAAAATTTCAAATAAGAGATTATAACTGAGAGATAGAGCACCTAGAATTGTTAGATAGCTTAAGGCAGAAAAGGGAGATAATTGGATAAGAAACAATCTAATAAACTAAAATCGTGGAGACTAGAGTCAAATGTCTGGCTAAAACTCCATACTGTATAACTTTGATACAGTTTGGACAATTTCTATATGTCTTTGTTTTGTGATTTTCATGACTTTTTTTTATAAAGCTCTTCAATTTTCTTTTCCACTCCAGATGTTTGAAATGGACAGCTTGAACATCCACTTGAGCAAGTTATGACGAACTGATTCAGTTGCCAGCACAGTAACGAATGATAGGGAGATCCTGCTTTAACTACACAAAGGAGTCTGCACTCCTTGGGACCAGTAGTCATATCTCTGTGATATTCTAAGGCAAACAAACGGAAAAACATCTTAACCACCAATTTGCCGATGGCAAGAGGAGAAAATCTCTTCTGTTATGGTTCCAGTCAGGCGAAACCATGTAATAGGCATTAATATTACATTATTTGAGTCTCCGGTTTATATCATGAAATAAATGGAGCCTTAAAAGTGCTGAACAAGATTTAGAAAAGTGTGCAGCTGTTGATCCTGTTCAAAAATGATTCCAGTTAATTTTCGTGATAGTTACATTTCACTATTGGAAAGATAGAACTGACATGGATATTTTTTCCAGTATCATAGACATGACTTATTTTTCTTAGAAATAATCAAGTGTTATCAAATTCTGAACCGAAGTAATTAAAGTAGAATTGCACTTAGCATGAACTTGCAAGGACATTTTAGCAAAAAGGCAAATTTCTTCACTGTTCTCCTTACAGTGAAGAAACATAGGTATCTACCTGTACACAATCAGACCATGGTAAAATTTACGTACAAAAAAAACACCTAGTTGGATTGAAATTAGCAGGGTATCTACATATGTAAATCCAACTAAAATACTCCAGATGTTATACCTTCCAAGGTTGGTTTATCCAGGTTCAATTCATGACACAGTGATATCAATATCGTTTAAAAAAAAAATTGGGTCCTAAACAAGTCATACAAAGGAATGACGAAACAATAAAGAAGAAAAACAAGGTCTCTTGCAAATTTTTATATTATTTTGAAACAATGCTGTGGTCAAGGTGATTACTGATAACTACATGTATAAGAAAAAGTGTAGTAACATTATGAAAATACTGGAAATGGACAGATACTCAGATTTCAGGAAAAGTATATATTATATATATTATATGCTGTCAAAATTTTGATGAGATTTATTATGCCATGAAAAGTGTTAATCTTTGTTTTTTTAATTTATTTTGCAAGCTGAACTAAAATATCGTTTACGATTATTAAACTTGGTAAGCAGGCAAGTCAACAAGAGCTTAGACTCAGTTTAAAGTCAAGTGAACGCTGTGCATAATTTATAATCATGCTTCCACATCTGCACAATAACTGTAACAAAAAGAATACATTTCGAATAAATGTGGTCCACATTTACATCATACAAAAAACAAATGCTTATTTCAGTTAGAGTGAAATCCATCTGTTATCAACTTGCGTTCTCGAATTCAATTCATTTTATTGTTTAAGATGACTTATGATAAAGGGAGGTAATCCCTTTACATTTTTTTATGTTTGGAATGTGGGTGATTCCTGCACACAATTTAAAGATTTATTTAAAGGTTTTGAACGGCATGCATGTCTTATTGACTTAATCTTTTGACACTGATGTAAAGTAAGATTCTCCTTTCACTAAAAGCTTGAAATATTTAAGCTTTTTCGTACAAATGTATTTTTTTCTTTCCAAATTTTCAATAGATATACATCTTTGTTACAAGGCTCTATCCGAATCGTTTTACGTATGTCAGTTTATTATACAATGAGTCAATGGACGCTATATGGTTTGTTACGAGCAAACGGTGATTATACAATGAGTTAATGGACGCTATATGGTTTGTTACGGGCAAACGGTGATTATACAATGAGTAAATGGATGCTATATGGTTTGTTACGGACAAACGGTGATTATACAATGAGTTAATGGACGCTATATGGTTTGTTACGGACAAACATGTTTTGCTCCATTGATGTTTTTGTTATTTGGAGATATGCTTAAGTTGAGTATCAGTGAAAGAAAATTATATTATCTTACTATTATTAAGCCTGACTGGTCCCTTTGTCAAGCTATGACTGAGTGAGCCATTTGTATTGTTACTCACTCCATTAACCTATTCGATACAGTGTGTATACTCGCTATCGATAGGGAAAATGTTCCGGGTTCAATGACATTATTCAATTTCATCACAACGTTGTACAGGTAAACAATAAAATAAAAATCTCTCCCTCAGTCGTAGCTTGACAAAGGGACCAGTCACTCTTAAAACGTTGCAACAAGTTTAATATCGAACATTGTTTGGGTATAAAGTAAAACTTTTATATTAGAAAATTATCATGTTTGAGTTTCTGTTGAAATGTAGATGTTGTATGTCTGTGTAAAAAGATAAACAAAGATAATATTTTTAAAAATGTTCTTGCTTGTATATATTTGAGTTTGATGAGAAAAGTAAGAATATTGCAAAACTCATGGTGTGCTATACTATTGGCCATTATATGTTACATTAAAAAACATAACTGTTAATGGCACAATCAAAAGCACACGGAAATCTTTATAGCTGCTCACAGTTGGTTTTTAGCTCAGCTGGATGGTATGGTGTGTTGTCCACCAACTTTTACTTTGAACAACTTCTTCATAAGAACTGGATAGCCTAGGGCCATTATACACTGTATTTGGCCAGTAGGTACCTTGGACAGAGCCCTATAATATTTCCTCAAATAAATGACCTTGACCTACATGTACTTCAAGGTTTCAGGAGTCAAATATGTAAAAACCTTTAAACAACCCTGAGTGGTGATACTTGGCCAGTAGGTACCTGGTGTGAAGTGCTATAAAGTTTCCTCAAATACATGACTTTGGCCCACTTTCAAGATCACAAGGGTCAAATGTGTTAAAAACATTTACACAACTTCTTCTAAATAACCAGGTTGCCTAGAGAATGATAGTTGGCCTGTAGGTACAGTGTAACCTGCATCAATTGTTAAAAAACATTTCAGGGCAATGATAGTGGGCCAGAAGGTACCGGGCATTGAATGCTATAAAGTTTTCTCAAATATATTACCTTTACCAACTTTCAAGGTCACAGGGGTCAACTATGTCAAAACCTTAAAAAACCGTCTGCTGAATAACCAGGAGGCCATGACTGATGATGCTTAGCTAGGAGGTACATTGGATGTTGTGAAGTTGAATAAACTGGATGACATTGACATATGTTTAAGGTCAAATGGGTCAAATATGATAAATCCTTTGAGCAATTTCTTCTTAAAAACTGAGAAACATCAGTAGGTACATGTATATGGGAAGGTGAGATACAGGCTTTCCCCAAATAAATGACCTGGACCTAGTTTCAAGGTCACCTGCATCAATTATTCAAAAACTTTTCAGGCAATGATAGTGGGCCAGAAGGTACCGGGCATGAGTGCTATAAAGTTTCACGAAATAAATTACCTTGACTCAATTCTGCATTACCAGGAGGCACATGGTGATGATATTAGACCAGTAAGAGACTGCAATAGAGTAAAATGAGACTCAATGTATGGAAATATTTGCACAATTACTTTTATTGAGACTGTTTTCCAATGATTGCTCAAGTATGCAGGTGAGCGACACAGGCCCTCTGGACATTCTGTTTAAAAAGAGTTTTACCTAAAAAAGAAGACAGATTTTCGCTTTAGAATGAATTGAAAATTTCCCATAGGAATACTCAAGAATATTTTCTCCAATTTTCGTTCCAACGAAAAAAGGCAAAAATATCTGTTAGCGTGGAATTTTAACCGCACCTTTAAAACATCAGGACAAAAAGAAATAAAATGTCAAGAAAAAAACCCATAAAAAATGTATCAAAACCAAAGCAAAGACACAAGTTTAAAACCAACAGGCTCCCGAAGGAGATACAAAAATATACCATATGATCCGGAATCGTAAGCGTTCCCGCCCGATGTAGCATCCGTGATGTGGTTTCCTGTCTCATTAACGAACTCTTGACTCACTCTGTTACTTATGTAAACATCCACTTATAACATACAGCTGTACCAGGCGAATTCTATATTAGTGATTCAACCATGCAGTTTTCAGGCCGTGAAATACAATGTCATGTCTTTTACATTGTAATAATACAAGATGTATTATCAAAGAACTGTCATTTCTTGCGCGAATGGGTATATTTTACTTGGGCCAAGACTTTCGTGCAATCTGAGACGTCAAATGAACACACACGTGTGATATTGCCTATCTATCTTATCAGACTCTGTAACAATTCATAGTTGTAAATGGTTCCTTTTTGGCGTAGATTTCAGCACTTCTGGTAGGAAACGCTGACTACAAACTGTAAGAAATAAGTCATCAGGAAAAACCAGTGCAGTGACATAAAAGTACTATTCATTAGTTTAAAAGTTACACAAAAAATGTTTAAATACATACATGATCAATATAGAATTACGGGCGATGGTATCATTTTTTATTTATGAAGTTCCACACACATCTAACCTTATTTCCACTTAAGGTAGTTGATAATCGATTGTGTAATCTTTGAAGATCCGTCTATCGTTTGATCTCCTTCATGTTTCTGGCAAAATCAATATTCACTCATGTGTGAAAACAAACGGTTAGGAAAACTTAAACCAGACAGTTGAACATTCTGTGTGACTACGTAGGCTCAGAAAAATGTATCTCCTAGAAATGTTTTACTGCAAGGCGGAATTTGTGGTCCTCTATGGACTGATGTTTATGGCAGTCCAGGGTAAGTTCATACTCTTTATTTTGCTTGATTTTCCTTCATAGTCCTAGTGATTATTTTACGTCACCATCGGTTGACTATACCGTTGGATTACCAGTCCCCAAGGTTGGCCGTAACATTGCAGCTTGAATTTATGCTGACACACTTTACATAAAATGCTTATTTAAGAATACATTATCTATTGTAGTCAAACTTTATTCACATTTTGCTTTATTTTTACAAATGTTTCGGAACACTTTATACCTTAAGTACAAACTGGNAGGGGGGGGAGGGGGGCAGGGGAGGGAACTTTTTATCGTTTTTCTTGTTTTTTGTTAATGTGTGTTAAGTGTGAACGTTGCTATTGTTTTTGTTGTGCGGTGTATACATATTTGAAATACATTTTTCTATTAAGTTAGACTTATCAATACGGTAGTATTTTATTCTTCGTTCCACTATACGTTTCCGCAATATATTCGGTGTTAAACTTCATCTATTTCCTATTTCTGTTAAGGTACATTTTCATATCTTTTAATTACTATTATGTTAAACATATATATTGATAATATCACATTAGTGAAATATATAAGTCATTTGGTATATATACCATCCTGCCTTATCACATATATACTAATTTACACTTCCTTAACTCGAGGCATGTTCAGTATTTGTTCACCAAACGGCAGGCTTTGTAATGTCGGGTTGTAAATATTGAAAGAAACTGTGAAACTGATCAGCAGTCGGATTAAAAGACAACACCCAACTTAGCCGAACAGTAAGACTGTACAAACGTCGACTTAGGCCAGCGGCTTTACTGATAAACACCCACCTAGGCCAATGGCCCTGCTATTGAACTTCAACCGAGACCAGCCGCTCCGCAGGTAAAACTCAATCTAGGCCAACGGCGCTATTGATAAACGTCGACCTAGGCCAGCAGTGCTACTGATAAACGTTCAACTAGGCTAGTGACCCTGCTATTGAACTTCAACCGAGACTAGCCGCTCCACAGGTAAAATTCAATTTAGGCCAACGTTTCTACTATCAACTTCCACATAGGCCAGCGGTTCTACTGGTAAAATCCACCTAGGCCAGCGGTTCTACTGATAAATTTTCACCTAGACCAACGGTTGAACTGATAAACTTCCACTTATGCAAGTGGTATTATTGATTAACTTCCACCTAGGCCAACGTTTCTACTGAAAAAGTTATACCTAGGCCAGCGGTTTATTGATAACCTTCGACCTATAGGCCAGCAGTGCTACTGATAAACGTCCACCTAGGCCAGTGGCCTTGCTATTGAACTTCAACCGTGGCCAGTAGCTCCACAGGTGAAATAAAACCTAAGCCAGCGGCTCTGTTGAAAAACTTTCACCCAGGCTAGCAGTTCTACATAAGCCAGCGGTTCTACTGATAGCTTTTCACTTAGACCAGCGGTTCTACTGATAAACGTCCACATAGGCCAGCGGTTCTACTGATAAACTTCCACCTAGACCAACGGTTCTACTGAAAAAACGTCCACCTACATGAAGGCCAGCGGTTTTACTGATAAACTTCCACCAACACCGACGGTCCTAATGATAAACTTCCACATATGTCAGTGGTTCTATTGATAAACTTCACCTAGACCATATGTAGGCCAACGGTTCTACTGATAACCTTCCACCTAGACCTACGGCTATACTGATAAACTGCAACCTACACTATGTAGGCCAACGGTTCTACTGATAACCTTCCACCTAGACCAACGGCTATACTGATAAACTGCTACCTACAATATGTAGGCCAACGGTTCTACTGAAAACCTTCCATCTAGACCAACGGCTATACTGATAAACTGCAACCTACAATAAGTAGGCCAACGATTCTACTGATAACCTTCCACCTAGACCAACGGCTATACTGGTAAACTGCAACCTACAATATGTAGGCCAACGGTTCTACTGAATAACCTCCACCTTGATCAACGATTCGCCTGCTTAACTACCACCTATACAAACGGTTTTAATGAATAAGTTCCACATAGACCAACAGTTCTACTGGCAATTTCTTTCTAAGCCAGCGGCATACTGCATAACCTTCACCTATGCCGGCGGTTCTACTGATAAAATTATACCTAGGGCCAGCGGTTCTACTGATAATCTAAATTGTCTAAATTACTGATGACACATTAGTTACAAGTTATACATGTATCATCAGCTAAGCTTGTTATAAACTATGAGAAGGACTATGTATAAGTGCAATAGTCCGTGTTTCCTAATCATCAGAAACAAATGTCTATATACTTGTACATGTTTGTTGACATGAATAAAATATGGCCTAAACTACAGAAGGGGTTCCATGCTTGAATGAATAATTGTATGTATTAGCCGCACCATTGCATAGCTTATAGTCATGAACGTCTGAGATTTTTGTAATCAATATCATGTTACTTTGTACGCTCTCTATTCCTACAAAGGCGCTATACCAAGGGGTTGATAACACTTTTTAGAACTCATTGTACCAGCTCAGATAGACATACACTTACTTAATAATTGAAGACCTACCCTTAGTCAATACACTTTAACAGGAATGAAGTTAAACCACCAACTCTAAAGTGCTTTACCCTACGATTCCCGCCACTGTGGGCCGGGTATCGAGACACAAATACATACAGTAAAAGCGACCAAACTAAATCTGTTGTACCCGCTCTAA